TGTGTGTGTGTGTGTGTGTGTGTGTGTGTGTAATAAATGGAACATACCCTCTTTCAGAAGAGTTTCAGTGAAGACACAATCTTCTCTAGAAGGCAGAGTCGGCCCGTCTTGCTGACTTCTCTCTTGGCTGCCTGACTCAGTGTGAGTGCATCCGGGACCCCATCACCAGGAAAGCCAGGAACAGAACAAGGCAGCCCTGGGAGGTCTCTGAAGAGAACATTAGCACCCACCTCTTCAAGACCAGGTGAATCCAGTTTGATAGGAGTTTGGAGGAGGGAGGCAGACAGCAAGCATTCTCCCACCAGGAGCCCTGGGCCCTGTCCCCCAGCCTCAGAGCATCCCAACCTCACATCCTGCCAGCTCCTGAGAAAGAGCAGCGCTGGCCTTGGGACAAAAAGGCGCACTCAGTCCAGAGCAGTGTCGATCTTGCCAGGGGGAGGGTGGCATCAGCTTTATTTTGGGAAGGTACCTGCCGGGCATCTCAGTGGTAAAAAAGAAATAATTCCATCCCTGCCTAGATTGTTCATATTTAATCAACCCCAGGCCTCTAGGTATACCCTGGCCCTGCAGAGGACAGGAACGGAATTGAATCCTCTAATAAAAAACGAAGTCAACTCTTGCCAGGGAACTTTCTAGAAGCCATAAGGTACAAACATAAGACCAGGTGCACAAAACGTACTGACTCTGGTAGTTAGGCCTTCCTTGTCATGCTCAATTCTTCCACAAGGCAACCACTCTTGGGTATGATTTTGAACTAACAACTTTTTTTTTTTTTTTTAGACAGAGTTTAGCTATGTCTTGATCTTCCTGCCTCAGCCTCCCAAATAGCCGAGACTACAGAACAAACCAATGCCCCAGCTCCTTTATTCGGAGTGGGCCAGAAATCAAACCCTGGCCTCTCTGGCCTCAACCTACCCAAACAGCAGCATCCACCAGCAGAGACCTTGCAGATAACCTCGGCCAAACTTCTTAGCCTGACAAAACAGTCACAATTCTTTAGTTGGGTGCCACTTCACTTCCTATGCCTAAAGAAGGCATTTTCCTGGACATAATTTATATTATTTGGGTCTCCATGGTTAAAATACATCAGCTAAACAAGAATTGGAACAAATTCAGAGCTTTCTACGTACAAACGACTGAGCTAGTTACAAAGATCAGAACGTACACATTTTTAAATGAACTTCACGGGAGGTTAACTAAAGCTTTCTGTGTCTAAATATAATGAACCTATAAAATAATGACCGCGGTGATAAAACTAAAATACTCCCAGGTATTAACCATTGATCCCTTCTCATGAAAGCATTATTGCAGTCATTTAGCAAGGATCCCTGGTTATTATTTCTCTCCTGTCTGGTTCATTTTCTCTTATTTTCCTGTACTGTCTCTCCTCCTTTGTTTTGGTCACCTCAGTATGCCTTTTTTTTTTTTCAAGAATTAATTATTATTCCTCATTTTGACCAGAGAGAGAGAGAAAGCAAGCTGCCAAGTCTGGGACTCGAACTGTGGTTGGCCAGGTAGAAGTCCAATGCCTCAAACACCATGCCATCTACCAGCTCCTCCTTTTTTTTTTTTTTAATCTTCTTGCTAGAGGGCACATGTGCTCACCAGAGAGAGAGATAAATTGAGAAAGCACCCCCCATGGGACATGGTCACATGGCAATCCCTTCTCCATCTCTCCTTCCTTTCAGGATTCTGGGCATACACACACACACACACACACACACACACACACACACATGACCAGCATGTTTCTCTAGTCACTAGGTCTGAGACCTGAACCACATGGTCAGTCATATGGGATCCAGTCACCTCAACCACCAGGCCATGGGTTGGCCTCAGTGTGTTCTTCACGCTGTCTAAAAGCTATCTATGCTGACTGTCTAAAAGCTATCTATGGTGACTGTCTGTCTGACAGTCTGTCTCTCTGTCTGCAGTTTCTGAAAGCCATGCTACCTTCCTTCTGTAGCCATGCTACAGTCGCAGCAACATCACCTCCCAGCTGCATTTCTACTACCCTGGCTCTTCCTATTCTGTTTGATCCTGTTGGAACCTGACTAAGGTAGGGCCAGAGCAGAGCTACCTCTTCAGTGGCTGGTTTGCATGGGAGTCTGACTCCGTGGAGGCAGCTTCTTGGGGCTCTAAGGCTGAATCAATTTCTTTGTCTTTTCTGGCTTCTAGAACCTACTTTGCTTGGCTCGTGGCCTTCTCTCTCTCTCTTTTAAAATTATTTTTATTTTTTTTAATTGCTAGATGACACGTGTTCATCAGAGCGAGAGAGACAAAAATAAAGACAGAGACAGAGAGAGAAAGCACCAACCCAATGGGGTGTGGTCATGCTGTATCACCCTCTTCTCCATCCCTCAATCCCATCAGACTTAGGGCATGCACACACACACACACACACTCAGTGTGTTTCTCCAGCTGCCTGGACTGGGTCTTGAACCACAGTCAGCCATGTCAGAGTTGGATCCCTCAGCCACTAGGCTATAGAGCCACTCCCCCATCTTTGTTTGTTGGTTTGAAGAGAGGTTTTTGCTGTAGGGCATATGTGTTCAACAGAAAGACAGAGACAGAGAGACAGATAGCAAGAAATCATCCCCTGCGGGGGGGATGGCTATGCTGCATTCCCTGCTCCATTTTCCTTTTGGGATCTTGAGCAACACAGGCATTGAGTTTAAAATACCAGAACCAGGATTCAAACTGCTGTTGATTATGCAGGAGTCCAGTAACAGAACCATTGCACCATCTGCTGGTCCCAAGCCCTCTTCTGTTTAAAGTCAGCAGCAGAGCATCCTCAAATCTCTTCTCTTTATCTAACCCAGACAGTCTTGTCTCCTTCTTATAAGGAGTTTTATAATTATGGGGTCATCAGAAAAAATCATTATTTATTCTTCTGTTTTTCTATGCAAAAATGCATCTTGATTTTTTTCAACAACCCAATACATTGGGCCCACCAGGATAATCCAGGGTAATCCTCCATCTCAAGATCCTTGGCTTAATCACATCTACAAAGTCCTTTCACCATGTATGGTAACATGTCCAAGTCCACAGGTTCCAAGGGATTAGATGGGGACATATTTGGAGGGCCATTATTCTGCCTGCCACACTTTATAAGAAGACAAGATTGCCAGTCTGGAAAAATCAACACCTAATGGAAAGGGGATGATTAATAAACAGAAGATTCTAAGACCATCGTGGTTTTCCGGGGTGGAAGGTGGCACAGCAGAAGCACAATGCTCTGTGAGCCTGACCCATGTGGGAAGGTTCTTGGTTTGCCTCCAGAGACCTCCCTGAACACACTGGGTGTACACGGGCCCATGTTCCTGACTCGCTGGAGCAAGGGGAAAATTGTGATGTGAGGACCCTGTTGGGAGTGACTGTCTCTCTCTCTCTTTCTCACTCTCTGAAGAAATAAATAAACTTTAAAAATTTATTTTCATGGAAAAGTGGGTCCAAAAGATTGACTGACATCTTCATTTACAGATGAGGAAACTGAGACCAAAGAGACAAAACGTCTCACACACTCGTAGTTTTGGTGGCCTGCAGGGGGCTAGAATCCAACACTTGAGTCCCGGGCCAATCCTCTTCACAGAACGATCCAACCTTTCCATAGGTTTCTTACACTACACATTTTCTCCTCCCTCTTTTTAAAAGGAATGTGTTAGTAGATGTAGCCTCTGAGTTTCCCGATAGCTAGCTTCTCTTGAACCTGAGAATCCCCTCCTGCAGGCTCTCTCCCACGTGCGTGCTCGCTAAATGTCCTCCATGGTGCAGCCACATCCTTTGAAGATCCTTTTCTTTCATCTCCACTCAAAATAGCACCCGCCATCCTGTTAGCTAGCCTCGGCAGCTTCAGAGTGAGGAGCCAAAGGAATGGGTAAATTATCACCTGGTGAACTGACCTACATTCTGCTTAATTGTTTTCGGCCTGACCATTACCCCAGGCATCAGGGTGGAAAGGGATAAAAGGGGTAGTGAGATCTCGTATAGGGATTATATGGCACCTGTAGATCCCCCAAATTAATCATTGTTGGAAGGAAATAGAAAAGTAAAAGATACTTAGCATAAAGTTAATTTTACCCCAAAAGTACTTCTGCTGATGTTTCAGGAAAAGGAAATTATCAAAATGATGATGCGGGCATTTCTCGGGACAGATCATCTGGTGGAGTTCAGCTGCTCTTTGAGTATGACATGTTGGGTCAGGTTTTATTTCCATACCAAAAAAAAAAAAGACTAAATTGGATGCCATCTCTTTCTAATCTAATCATTTTGCAAAGAGGCTGATTTCGTTCTCATTTACCAAGGGCACCACAATCTCAGATGTAATTGAAGAAACAAAGGTTTTTGTGAAATAGGAGCGGAGGATGTTGTCAAAATGTTCCGAAGGTCATCATCAAATGGATAGTCTCTCTGGTTTTTAACGCTTCAGTTGTAAAAATCCTTTCGGAGAGCTTCAAAAAGACATTCGCTTCCTCCTGATCTGATCGTTAGCATATCTGGCAGCTGCTGCGTTTTCTTTTCTGATGAGTTTCCAATGAGATGTATGTAGCATGGCTTGTTTAATATAATTTGTCATTTATGCTTCGACATTCATGTATTATCTGCCTCGATGTGCAAAGAAGAGCTGGGAGAATAACTGTTTGGGGTTTTCTTACTTTTCTTTTCTTTTTTTGAATTTTTAAATCAACATGGTTTCTCCCTATCTTGCAAGATGTAATTAGTTCTGATAGAGTTTATACATTTCAGTAAATGAATAATACTTCTTTGGATTGCTCCAAGTGGTTCTCACACTTCAGATTACTATAATAACTATAAAATAGGTAAAATTCCAGTGTAACAAATGTCATATCAAAAAGCAGCATTGGGGGCCAGCCATGGTGGCACAGCAGTGACACCATGTTCAGCGATGCTGAGGCCATATGGGAAGGTCCTGGGTTCACATCCCAAGGTCTCCCTGCATGCTGGGCATGTGCACACATGCCTTTATTTGAGCTGGCTGAGACAGTGGAGGGTCACAGTCTGAGGACCCTGTTGGAGGTGCCTATGTCTTTCTCTAAGGGAAGAAATAGATATCGATAAACTTAAAAAAAAAAAAAAAACACTTCTGTTTAGTGAAGCAATTTTTATGTCTTCATTACAAAGAATAAATGAAACTTGGCTAATCTGACCACAGTAGAGTTACACACAGTAGGGCCACACACAGAGCCATGGGTACCCCAGATTAAATAGGTGCAAAACTGTACTCATCCTTGCTCCTCCAACTTCAGTCTTCCCCCATTGCTTCTCATCTCAGCAGTCAACACCACCATCCACAACCCATTTATGTGATCCCCACATGCAACCAGAGTTCATCTTCAAAGTATCTCCCAAATTCACCTACTTTGCTTGTGTGGCCAGAGTCACACGATGGCTTTGCTGGGTCTATTGCCTCCAGGGGTCCTTTCACCATTTAAAAAAAAATCTATTTCAAGTAATGATTTATGACTTTGTTGGTATAAAGTTCAACATAATCAAAATTGGATTCATTATTATATATTTATCGCTTTTTAAAGCTTCCGATTCCATTTTTTTATTGTGTTGCTTATATTTTCTACATCATTTTAAAGAAACAGTTGCCTAACACAAGTTCAAGAAGATTTACACTCATATTTCCTTCAAATAGCTTCATATATTTAAATCTTTGATCCACTTTGAGTTGACTTTACATGTGGCATTAGGTAGGGGTCAAAATTCATTCTTTTGTATGTAGATAGCCAGCTTGTACAATAGAATGTTATTTTTCTATTGAATTGTCTTGGAGTTCTTGTTGAACATGAATTAACTGGAAGTTTAAGAGTTCATTTCTAAATTCTTAATTCTGTTCTATTAATCAATGTGTCCATCCTTATACCAGTACCATGTCATCTTGATTATTGTAGCATTGTAGTAAGTTTTGAAACTGTGAAGTGTTAAGTCTTCCTACTTGTTCTCTTCCAAGATTATTTCTGCTATTCTGGGCCTTTTAAATTTCTATATAAACTTTAGGATCAACTTGTCATTTTCTGCAGAAAATACAGCTGGGATTTTGATAGGACTGGCAAGAGAAGATAACCTTGTCTTGTTCCTGACTTTGGAGGGAAGCTTCAGTCATTTACCACTAAGTGTGGTCCTAGCTTGGGTTTTTCATAAATTCCTTTTATCAAATTGGGGAAGTTCCCTTCTATTCTAAGTGGGGTTTTTTGTTTTGTTTTGTTTTGTTTTGTTTTTAAATAATGAAAGGGTTGGATTTTGTCACATACTTTTTCTGAATTAATTGTGTTTTTCTCCTTTAATCTATTAACGTAGCATGTTCTGTTGATTGATTTGTGCATGTTGAAACAACCAGGGCTTCCTGGGATAAATTCTACTTGGTCATGGTGTATAATCTTTTTAATACACTGCTAGATTCAGTTTGCTAATATCGTGTTGAGGATTTTTTGCATCTATATTTATATGAGAGATTGAACTGTAATTTTCATTTCTTCTTATAAGTTATCTGGCTTGAAACTGTGGTAATATTGGTCTCAGAGAATAAATTAGGATGTATTCTCTCCTGGTCCATTTTTTGGAAGCATTTTAGAATGAGGGGTGTTAATTCTCCTTTAAATGTTTTGTAAAATTCACCAATGAAGCAAACTTGTCCCACATTTTTCTTTTTCTGAAAAGTCTCTTCAGATTTCCTACCTTTTCTTTAATGAGTTTTGGTAGTTTTGTGTTTTAAACATGTGTATAGTAAAACTTGGCTCCCACACAACTTTATACTCCCACTTTTGTTTGTGTCCCTATCACCACTGATTTGTATTTATTGCTTTATGCAGTTGTCATTTAGCAGATATGAAAAAAGAGGAGTAGGACCCAAAAAATAAATTCATAGTCTTTTATACTGTCATCTTTACCAATGCTCTTAATTTCTTTGTGTGGATTCAAATAATAGTTTACTGTCTTTTAAGCTTAGCCTGAAGATCTGCTTTTCATATTCCTTGCAGAGAACATCTGGTAGTAGCAAACATGTTCATATTTTATTTGGAAATGTCTTAATTTGTGAAGGATAGTATAGCAGGATATAAAATTCTCGATTGATAGATTTTGTCTTTCATCACTTGAATATGGCATCTCACTGCCTTCTGGCTCTCATGGTTTCTGATCAGAAGTCAGCTTTAAGTCTTATCAAGGATTACCTGTATGTGATAAGTTGCTTCTCTTTTTACTTTCAAGATTCTCCCTTTGTCTTTGCCTTCCAATAGCACAATTAGTGATAAAGTGGAGTAAGGTGGAAAAGGCAGTGGCTTTGGCATGAGACAAATATGAATTTTAATCCTAGATATGTCACTTTCTAGCTGATTTTCTGAAGTCTGAAAGGAATATGATAATTATTATAATATTAATATAATGATTAATATTATTATGAGTACTATGAGAATAAAATGAAATTATGCAAGTAAGATACAAAAGGAAACAATAAATCATTGTTCAATTTCTACTGACTCGGGACATGGCTTTGGCCAGGGCAGGCTTCCATTTCATTGCTGACTAACTGACTGGCATAGTTACTCCATTTTATTCATCCTGCACTATGTTTTCTCTCTATGAGATTACAGTCAGGGAACATTATTCACTATACCCTAGACTGTTTCAGTGGGCCACTAACACGGGATTGTTTCTGTTAGAGTATTATCCAGGGATGGATAATGTCATGTCATGGTCCTTCCTGTCATGTCATGGCCCTTCCTGAGATACAGGTGGTATCCCAAAGATTTCTTAAATAATTCATATGGTGAACTGATTTTATCTATGGTTGTACCTCCCCACCCCTACCCCCAGAACTAGGTATTTCAGCTCTGCCATATAAGGGATCCCTTGTTTCACAAATATGAGGAACTTCAAAATGTTCATGGAAAAAATTAAAGTATAAGGTTTCCTTGGTGTTAGAAAAATTTCTGCAATCCATACATAGTTTTTTCTTTTTTTCCCCTTTTTAAAAGCACAATGAAGAACATTTTATTTAAATAAAAAGAGGATAATATTTCACTGGGAATTAAATCCAAATATATATATATATGTATATATATACATACATATATATGTATATGTGTATATATATGTATATTTATACACATATATATATATATATACACACATACATATATATGTATATGTGTATATATATATATGTATATTTATACACACACACACACACACATATATATAAAACCAGTGGTGATATTTCATAGGCTAAGTTCTCCACAGATGCAAATGTTTAAAACATTATAAAAGCAATGTTTTGCTCAGGAATACTACTGTCCACATACCGTATGGATTATTTTATAATACCAACTTCAGGTGGCAAAATGCTAAGTTGTGAGTTCAGTATTTTCCAGCTAGTTTTTCTCCTTTCCCGGGTGTCACTGGTGGCACGCACTGTTGAGAGACCCCTTGTCTCCATACATTTCTTCTCACAGTTAAGTCCACTAGGGTGGAATGCTCATGTCTTTAAGATGCAAGGCCTAGCAAAATGTCTCCCATGAATTCACTGGATAGCACAATGTTCTCCTTGATCAATTCTGTTGCTTCTTCTATTACATTGTTGACTTCAGGTGCTGCTTTGCTTGTTTCTTAATCTGTCATCTGGCTTTGTCTACATCTTCTTCAACTCTCTTCCAGCTGATTTGCACATAACCGCTGTGACTGACAATCTGAAGAAGAAAGTCACCACATACTGTAGTTGCTACAAGTTTTCCCACTTTCTGGGACAAAAATCCCACACCCCAGCCTGTCACGCCACCCACTAAGGGGTACCTATTGAATTTTTTCTACTACAGGTCCCAAATTGTGGCCACTCAACTCCACCAGTGAGATCTTCTTGCATACTCAGTTAAATCCAACAATTCATAAGAAGTTCATAGTCATTCCGATGTGCAGAAGGGGAGTCTAGATATTTCCCAGCCAATGCACCAAAACATGACACAGGAACTCAGGGGCACCGGGGTGATCAGGACCAGCACTCGCAGTGAGACATGGGTTTGTGCCCCGCACTCAGGAAGAATTAGAGACCGGACACAGAGAGTAGATATAGCAAAGTGGGGAGTTCATTGAAGGAGAGGGAAAGAAAAACAGAGCTCCCAAGGAGAAGGGAGGGGTCCTGGAAAATGGGTTGCCCCATAGTTTTTTCATAATACACATTTTTCCACAAAGGTTTTGAAAACCCTTTGTCAAAGACAAAGCAAACCCTTCTGGCCCTGCCCCCTGCAGAGCCATCGTATCTATAAACATTCCAACCTGCTCCAGGGAGGTTGAACTCCACTGAATGCAAATCTGTCCATAGTTACAGAGAGAACCCAATAATGTAAGGCTTAAGATGCGTGTGTGTGCTGAGATTAGAAGGCTGAAATCCTTTCTGACTCTCTACCCTCTTGGACTCTAAATCCTGCCTACTTCTTTTCAGTGCTTCTGCCCCCCACTTCCTGACCTACCTGCATTCCAACCAAGTTCCAACAAAACGTCCACCTCTTGTTTTGTTGACTCTCTCTTTCTTGGCTTATGTAAAAGTCTTGACTCTCTCTAGGCCTATTTAATTCATTTCAATGAATACCAGTAGAGCATTTAGCATATGCAAGGCTCTGTTTCAGGAGCTGCTAATATAGGTTATAAGCATTAAGTCGGGCAAATATCGCTGCTTTCCTGGACTTTATATTACAGTTTTACTCTAACATGCAGGTGAACAGTTCACTGCTCTATCTCAAAAATGGATTGGCTGGAATAAGTTTGTGTTCATCAGGTGCTAGAAGACCCCCTGAATCTTGAAAGGGAGTTAACACATTCTACTTTAATAAACTCTAGCAAATGAGTGGAGCTTCCTTGAACCTTCTATTTTTCTCTGGGTCATTTACCCCACTAGTTTGTCAGCTACAGATAGAAGACTTTCACTGTAGTTTCTAGGTATCATTTAGAGTTTTTCTTTTTTTGGTTTATTTTTTAATTTCTTTATTAGTTTTTTGTTTTTGCCGTAGGGCACATGCACTTGCCAGAGAGTGAAAGAGAGAGGTAAAGTAAGAAATCACCCTCCAGGGTGATGGAATGCCACAATCCCTTCTCCTCCATTTTCCTCTGGATTTTGGGGCATGCACACACATGTGCCCAGCATGGTTTCCAAGTTGCCAGCTCTGAGACTTGAGCCATGGCCAGCCATGTGGGAGTCCAGCACCTTAACCACTTCGCCACCTGCTGGCCCCTGTAGATTTTCTTAGGGATGAGAGTTCTTTTAACAATGTGCCACTTCTCTGCTAATCAGTCCATGCCCAAGAGCTATTTATCCTACATGTTCTATGTAATGACCAAAACATTCATAATGCTGCCTTCATCTTGAATGAGTAACTTGGGTGCCCAACGATTCCTTTTTATTTCATGCCCAGCTCTAGAACAGTCTGTAATCTTACAACTATTTTTTTCCTGGTATTTTGCCAAAGTAGTTAAAAAGAAAATTCAAAATTGTGAGTTTTTCCAATAGGGAAACCAAAATAATACCTCATTAAGCCTTTCTACAATTCTCTTTGATCTCAAACCACTTTTTATAACATAGTTACTAAATAGCCCTTCTAGTTTTACAGTTGATTTCTTCCTTTTTGTGAAGAATTTTTTACTTTTGGTTTTAAAGCCTTTTTATAGTAATGAGTCGCCTTAAATTCTTTTTTCTAATTAGTATTGATTTGTAATTGGTAGGTTCAGTTTTATACACTTCTGACACCTTCGTTAAGCAGCATTTTCATTTTTTAAAACACTTATTTATCTATTTATTTGTGATTTTCAAGCCACCAAGTCTGGGACTCAAACCACAGTTAGCCATGTGGGAGTCCAGTGCCTTAACTACCATGCCACCTGCTGGGTCATTATTTTCTCTTTTTTTGAATCATTTCTTCTCCACAAAAAGTGCAAGAAGCACCAATTCAGTTCTTAGTTGAGTCAATCGTAGAGTTCGTTTAGAGCACGGGCTATGAACTTGAGGACTGGCAGTGCCACTGTGACTTTCGTAAAAACTGTAAGCCTGGGGTAATGATTCCTAATGGGTGGGATCCGTAAGCCTTTGTTTATGTTCCAATCAGAGAATCTATTTATGAAATAATGGATGGTACCGTGACCCGACAGAGTGCGGTTTCAAAACCGAGTGATCGTCCATCTTTGCAACACACAAAGGTAGCTATTCGGCAAAGAAAACCTCATTCATGGCTCTAAAAAGTCATGCCAAAGGAGGGAGGAATAGCAGGCGCCCGTACCAACTCAAACTACGCCTCGCTGACACTAAAGCTGATTGATGAGCTAGGAGCCTTCCGAGTCCAGAGAACAAAATGGAAATGAGATAGACAAATGGCACCGCAATGTATGAAAAACTGTAGGTGTGACACAGAAGTGTGTTCTCTGTGCACGAGAAGGTTAGGGTCTTTCGAGGCTGACAGTCGTGTCAGTGCCGTTGACATAAATTGTGCTAATGTTAATGGAAACGTACTAGTGCGATTTACCAAAGCCATTTTACAGCTGTTGAGTTAGAGCGAAACGGAAAGCAATTGCACGAAGATGAACCCAAGAGGTTCGTACTTGCATGTGCGAACAAATGCACATTTTAAAACTGCTCTCTACATAGACTCCTCTAATGTGGCAAAGTTCGTTTTTCTTTAAAGTTATTCTTCGAGATGGGAAAAAAAAAAAAAAAAAAACTACAGTCAATGCCTTCTCAAAGTCTCTGCTCTCTCCATTTTGAAACTGCTGCTCAGGACCACCAGATGGCATAGCAGTTCCGTTGCTGGACTTCCACATAATTGACCATGGTTCAAATCCTGGACCTGGCGGCTTAAACCTCATGCCAGACACATGTGCATGCATGCCCAAAGTCCCAAGAGGAGAAGGGAGGAGAAGGGATTGCGACATGGCCATCCCCCTAGGGGGGTTATTTCTTGCTTTCTGTCTCTCTGGAGAGTGCATACGCCTTATTGCAAAAATCTCTCCCCCCCCACAAAAAAAAAAAGAAAAGAGAAAAAGGAAGAAACTGTGCCACTCCCACAAACATGATTTCATTTCCAACAAATCCCCTTTTAAGAAACTGTGATCTCTTATCCAATGCTAGAATCAGACATCGTTGTCTGCGTTTAGTTACAGGAGTTGCAAAGTATTCTAGAAAGCCAAGACACTGCTCTCAGCCATGGAGCGGCAAGGCCAAGTGTATGGCATTTCTGCAGATGAGGGATCAAATGCAGAGAGCATCAAACGCCCGCCTTGAAAGGTACAAGGTACGGCTCATGGCATCACAATGCTGCTGCCCTCAGTTTCTGAAAAGCAAGCCAGAGAATTGGCAGAGTAAGGGAAATGCCTTCAGAGCTGGACAACTCCTGGTTGGAGGAGACAACTGGCTGGCCTTCCAGCCAGGGACGTCTCCAAGGAGCGGAGCCACGCTGGCTGCCTGTGAAGGCTGTGCTTGCTAGTGGTGCAGTCAGAAGTGACAGTTGGAGAAATCGGGATTCTGAAAAGAGCAAGGAGGACATCTGAATAACGGTGGGAGGTGAAAGTGTGGGAAAGCACGGTGGGAAACTCTCGAAAGGGGGATGATATGTTTATTTTAAAATGTGAGAGATCCTGGGCTGGTATTGGACGTAGGCTGACTCAGTGTGAGCCAGGGAAAGGAGGACATTGATAGTCCTGGTAAAAACTAATGCCTTGGGACCAGCAGATAGCATAACGGTTACATCACTAGACTCCCATGTAGCAGGCTGCAGTCTGAGTCCCGGACCCAGTGGCTTAAAACTCATAGCGGGCACGTGTGCATGTGTGCCCAAGATCCCGAGAGGAGAATGGAGGAGAAGGGATTGCGGTGTGGCCATCCCCTCTGGGGGGTGATTTCTCACTTTCTGTCTCTGTTTCTCCAGCAAGCACAAAGCAAAAATCTCTCTTAAAAAATAAATAATGCCTCTATCTACCTAGCTTGGTAATGAAAGCTGTTTCCCCTAGAGCCAGGAGGAGGGTGGCTGCAATGGCACTCACATCAGTGCCTTTTCTCCAGTATTTCGCCCCCTGTGATTTCAGGAGCTCTGCGTGTAACGTCTTGCCCTGGGCTGACCCCCTTGCTGTCCATGAGCATCACTACCAGAGGAGAGCCTGGGGGACTGGGCACCTCCTGGAGCCGCAGCAAGTGGCTCTTTCAGTGGGGCCTTGTGCAGACAGCACCGGAGCTTCTGTGCCGGTGGAAGTGAGTTCAAGCCTTGCTTCCCCAGGCCATACTCAATTCACCTCACATCACACCTGTGGCTTCACAATAGCCATGGTTTTTCACTCTTGTGCCCCATCGACAAACCTCTTCCTTTCTTTCCGGGCCCTACCCAGCTCATGTAGGGATCTGGATTCCTACATGGCTGACTACAGTTCGAGTCCTGGACCTTGTGACTTGTTTTCTCCCTTTCCCTTTCTCTCTCTCTCTGTCTCTCTCTGGCCAAATTAAAATAATAATAATGATAAATGGAATTAAATAAATAAATAATTATTTTAGGGGGGAAAAAAACCTTCCAAAGTTTTCCACCAGCTTTCGTTGTTCTTTTTTTTTTTTAATTTATTATAGGGCTCATACTCCCTGGAGAGAGATGGGGTGAGAGGGAAACTGAGGAAGCACCCCCCCACACGCCCAAGGGGGAGGATGGCCACATTGCAATTCCTTCTT